ATCTAGAGTGCTCATACAACTCAACAAAAGGAAGACAAAGAACTCAATTAAAAAATGGGCAGAGGCCCTGGCCAGTTTAGCTCAGTGGTTAGAGCATTGGCCCACGGATCAATGAGTTGCGGGTTTGATTCTGGTGAAGGGTATGTACGGTGGTTATGGTTGTCCCTGGCCCTGGTTGGGGTCATGCGGGAGGCAACCAGTCGATGTGTCCCTCTCGCCTTGATGTTTCTCTCTCTCCCTCCCTCCCTCCCACTCTATCTGAAGATAAATAGGAAAAAAAGTGTCCTGGGGTGAGGATTGGAAAAAAAAAAAAAAAGACCTGAATAGACACTTCTACAAACAGAACACACAAATGGCCAAGAGACATGAAAAAAATGCTCAACATCACTAATCATCAGAGCGATGCAAATTAAAACAACTATGAGGTATCACCTCACGCCTGCCAGAATGACTGCCATCAACAAATCATCAAACAAGTGTTGGCCAGGATGTGTAGAAAAGGGGACTCTGGTACACTGGTGGGAATTCTGATTAGTGCAGCCACTATGGAAAACAATATGGTATTTCCTCAAAAAATTAAAAATTGAACTGCCATTTGACCCAGTGATCCCACTCCTAGGGATATATTCAAAAAAGCCTGAAACATCCGCCCTGGCCAGTTTGGCTCAGCGGTTAGAGCATCGGCCTGCGGTCCGGAGAGACCCGGGTTCGGTTCCTGCTAAGGGCACGTACTTCGGTTGCAGTTTGTCCCCGGCCCTGGTTGGTCGTGCGGGTGGCAGCCACTCAATGTGTCCCTTCACGTCGATGTTTCTCTCTCCCTCTCCTTCCTCTCTCTCCCTCACACTCTATCTGTAAAAAAAATGGAAAAATATCCTCGGGTGAGGATTAAAAAAAAAAAAAAGCCTGAAACATCCATCAGAAAGAATATATGCACCCCTATGTTCATAGCAGCACTATTTACAATAGCTAAGATCTGGCAACAGCTCAAACACCCATCAGTAGATGACTGGATAAAAAAGCTGTAGTATATTTACACAATGGAATACTATGCAGCTGTAAGAAAGAAAGATCTCTTACCCTTTGAGATGAAATGGAGTATTATGCTAAGCGAAATAAGCCAATCAGAGAAAGATAAGTGACACATGATGTCACTTATTTGTGGAATATAATGAACAAAATAAGCTGATGAACAAAACAGATCCAGAGAAATAGAAGTAGGGAACAGACTGACAAAATTCACAGGGAAGGAGTGTGGGGGGATGGAAAGAGATAAACCGAAGAACTTATATGCATAACCAATGGACACAGACAACAGTGCAGTGAAAGGGGGCGACGGGAGCATGGAGGAGAGTGTCAATGGGGAAAAAATTAGGGACATCTGTAATAAAAATTAATTAATTAAAATGTAAAAAGACACAGAAAAGAAATAATGAAATCAAGGGCAGAGATTAATGACACAGAAAACAAAGATACAGGAGGATCAACAGTCAAAAGTAGGTTTTTGAAACAACCCCATCTCAGACCTACTATCACTGATCCCATGAAATAGCATATCTGATTCCATACGCCTCTCCATCACTATTTCCAAATAAATGCATCACTCACCCCGTGGAACCCCATCATACATCACAGAAACCTTAACTACAGTCTCAATGAACTGTACCACATACCACTTAGACCTTGCACCACTCACCACAGTCCTCATCACTAGCTGATTGACTGAACCCCACAATACTCACCCCACAAACTACACACCATTCACTCTACAGACCACCCATTACTCTCCCCAAGGATCCTCATCACTCACCCTACTGAACTCCCATCATTTGTCTTACAGACCTCCATCACTTAGGCCACTAACACCCTATAACTCACTGTACAGATTACTCCATCATTTGCCCCACAAACCTTCATCACTAATCCCATAGACCACCCATCATACCCCAGAGAACCTGTCACTCACACCACAGTCCCCATTCCTTACTGCACTAATCCCTTATCGCTCACCACACAGACTTCCATCACTTACCCACACATCCAATCACTTACCCCACAGATCCCATCAATGACCTCTAAGGATCCCTCCCCATCAGTGACATCTGAGGACCCTCATTGCTCACCACATAGATATTCCATGGCTCATGGCATAGACCCCCACATCACTGACCATAGACCCCTGAATATTCACCCCACAGTTCCCTAATCACTCACACCACAAACTCCACACCATTTACCCTGACAGACCGCCCCCATCACTCACTCATCTCCTCATCACTCATGCCGCACACAGACTATCCATTACGTCCCCCGCTGATCCCCTCGGTCACCCGCAAACCCCTGCCACTTACTCTGTGCACCTCCTAAGTGACCCCAGAGAAGCCGCATCACTTACCCTACAGGGTACCGTCACTGAGGACGAAATCCATGTCATAACACCCCCATAATTATGTGACTGCTTTAGTGGCGCCAAGTAGCCCGCCTCTGTCAAACTCAGGCCGGGAGCCCTAAGTGTTGAAAGTGCATTTGAGCGACTCTTTCATCCTGCACATGCTCAGTGTCATTTGGGAAGTGACTGTCCGCCGGCATTTACACCAGGTGCCCTCGCGACATCTTAGTGTGTGTGCCTGTGTGTCAGAGGGGAGGCGAGCTTTCAGATTTTCTTTAGTGACTTTTGTCAGGCAACTAACATGGCTGTTCCCTTGGGAGTTTCTGTCCGGGAGTCGCCATCTTGGCAGGGCGGTCCCGGCCCCATCTTCCCCTGTGGTGCTTCCCTGGAGCCGACGGGGTCAGACTTTGGGCTGTGCCAACCAGACTCTGCCCCTCGGACTGTCCCCAGCAGCCGGTGAGGCTCAGGCCGGCTGCTGTCCATTGTCATCACGCAGGTGCTGACACTCGGCTGTGTCCCCGGGGGCCCGCGGGGGCTTCACCCGTCGCCAGCCCCCCCCCCCCCATCCCAGCTGCAAACATTCCGGGAGCAGCCGGACCAGAAATGAGCTCGTCCCCTGGCCCGGCCCCCGCCCCGGTCCCACTGCTCGGGGGACTGAACGGTCCCTGCTCGGCGTGGGCAGCTGGCGGTCGCCGAGCCCGAGGCGCCGCTTCGTGCCCACCTGACGGCGCCTCTGTCCACCCGCCGGCTGAGGGCACCGCCCGACTCCTCGTCTGTCACCGACCCTGGGTCGTTGCCACCGGGGGAATAGTACGTGTCAGATTTAGGCCAGGAAGCGGAAGTCGCCCGCAGCTGGAGTTTAACCGCTCTGGGCGCGAGGAGCTGAAATAATGGAGCGCCAGACACCAAGTATCTGCAGAGTAACTGGGGGGGTCTGTGACATCAGTGCTGGGCCATGCCATCCAATTTTTAAGACCCCATTAACCGACCTTTCTGGTTTCCTTGTATAAACATTAAGGCTAAAGTTCTAAAGATCCAAGTTTTTATTTCTTTTCATTAGTTTTCAATTTCAAGTGCTCATTTGTAACTTTCTTCTCCTTTTGATCCATGAATTATTTAGAAATTCATTATGGAACTTGCAAAAATGCTTTGAGACCCAAAGGGCAAGGGAATGGGTACTCTATTCAGGCGGATGCGACAGGGAGAACAGCCCAGTGCAGCGTGCCCTGGAGCATGGGAAGTTTTGTATGAGAGAGGAGTTTTATAGGGAAGGAAACAAAAGCGCCCAATGCCAGCTGCTTTGATCCGTAGGTGTTTAAATGCAGCCAAAAGGAGCAGTTTACGATTTGGGCAACCTCCGTCCGCATCCTGTTCTCAAAATGAATGACTCAAAGAGAGAATTAAGAGGTAGTGCAGAAAATTTTGCAGTTCCTCGCACCATTTTCCATTTCCCCAAACACAAAGTTAATCCGATGTTAGTGACGTCTATCCTAATTGCTCTGTAGTCTGAGAATGTTGTCTGAATGATGTCTTTGAAATTTGTTGAAACTTGCCTTAAGGCTTATGTACAGAAGCACAGATACATGGAACAGACCGACCATTGTCAGAAGGGACCGGGGAGGGGAACTTGGTGAAAGAAGGTGAAGGGATTAGCCAAAGAACATACATGCCTAACCCACAGAGACAACAGTATGGTGATGGCCAGAGGGAAGAGGGAACCGGGGCTGGGTGGAGGTGGGCAAAAGGGGTGAAAATAGGGACATCTGTAATAGTGTCTACAATAAAAATAAAGTAAAAAGTATGGGCCCAGTATTTAAAAATGTGTCATCTCTTGATCGAAAAGACTGTATTTTCCAGTTGTATTTAGCATATGTGTTTATTGGTTCAAGCTTGTTCATTGGGCTGTTTAAAATGTGAATCGCCCAGCTGGTGTGGCTCAGTGGTTGAGCATCGACCCATGCACCAGGAGGTCGCTGGTTCAATTCCGGATCAGGGCACATGCCCAGGTTGTGGGCCAAATCCCCAGTGGGGGACATTCAGGAGGCAGCCAATGGATGTTCTCTCTCATTGATGTTTGTATCTCTCTCTCTCTCCTTCTCTCTTCCTCTCTCTCTGAAGTCAATAAAGAAAAAAAAATTAAAAAATAAAATATGAATCTCCTTCCTGATGACTTTCTTCTGCCTATGAGTTACTGAATGAAGAGTGAGATTCTCCCACTGTATTGCTGGTAAGTCAGGTTTTCATGGCACCAATCAATTTGTGCTTCCTATATTTTGAAGTTGTATTATTAGATGCAGGTAAGGGTATTTTGGTGATGAATAGATACAGTCAAATCACTTCCCCAAAAGACTATAACTTTACCTACTTTCACCAGCAAAATATGAATTCATTAGAGCAAATCTCTAGCATTGGATGTCCATGCTCTCTTTAATTTTTGCCAGTCTGAGGGCTAGTAGTATTGAACTGCTTTAATTTGCATTTTCATAACTACTTGTGCAACTGAGGATATTTTTCTGTTTGTTGATCATTTTGATTTTCTCTTCTGCTAGTCTTCAAATCCTTTGTCCAGTTTTCTTTGGAGTGATTTTTTTTCTTATCAATTTGTAGAAGCTCTTTGTATATGAGGGATATTAACCATTTGTTAGTTGCACTGCAATATCTTCCCCCTAACTCTTTTTTTTTCCCTTCGATCTGTGATTAGAAAAATATATTCTCTCACCCCAGACCTGATCCTACAGGTTCCGGTGCTCAGGAGTGATGAACTGATCAGCTAGACGAGGCCGGGCTTGTTCCGGGCTGATGATTATCGAGGCGATTCTGATCTGAGCCTGGAAAAAAGAAAAAAAAATATATATATATATATTTAGGATGCAATAAAAGTCCATTTTCATAAATATCACATAGTTTACCTGTAGCCCGTTAAGTGCATTTTATTTTATTTTTGTGTGTGTGAATCTCACTTTATGATTTTTAAAAATTGAAAAATTAGCCCAGCCAGTGTGGCTCAGTGGTTGAGCATCGACCCATGCACCAAGAGGTTACCAGTTTGATTTCCAGTCAGGGTACATGCCCAGGTTGTGGGCCAAACCCCCAGCATGGGGCATGCAGGAGGCGGCCAATTGATGTTCTCTTTCATGGATGTTTCTATCTCTCTCTCTATTTCTCTCCTTTCCTCTCTCTCTCTCTCTCAAATCAATAAAGAAAAAAAAATTTTTTTTAAGAAAAAAGAAAAATTGTACCCTAGCTGGTTTAACTCAGTTGGTTGCAACGTCATCCAGTGCACTAAAGGGTCATGGGTTTGATTTCTGGTCAGGGCACATACCTAGGTAATGGGTTTGGTCCCCTGTTGGGCTAAGTTCGACAGGCAACGGATCAATGTTTCTCTCTCACATCAATGTTTCTCTGTCTCTCTAAAACTCAATAAACATATCCTCGGGTGAGGATTTAAAAAAATTTTAAGCCCGGCCGGTGTGGCTCAGTGGTTGAGCATCAATCCATGCACCAAGAGGTCACTGGTTCGATTCCTGGTCAGGGCACATATCCAGGTTGTAGGCCAAATCCTCAGTGGGGGTCATGCAGGAGGTGGCCAATCGATGTTCTGTCTCATCGGTGTTTCTATCTCTCTCTCCCTCTCCCTTCCTTTCTCTCTAAAATCAATAAAGAAAAAAAGAAGAAAAAATTCTTAATAATTTCTTTCAATTACAGTTTATATTCAATATTATTTTATATTAGTTTCAGGTGTACAGCATAGTGGTTAGACAATCACATACTTTACAAAGTGTTCTCCTGATATTTCCAGTACCCACCTGGCACTGTACATAGTTATTACAATATTACTGACTATATTTCCTATGCTGTACTTTATGTACCCATGACTATTTTGTAACTACCAATCTGTACTTCTCAATCCCTTCACCCTAAAAATATAATCTTAGCATTTATTTCTTTTTCTTTTTATTTATTTTTTACTTGAACTTTTAATTTACTTGGAATTTACTCTGATGTGTAGCATGAGGTCAAGGTCAAGTTTGTTTTTGCTGTGTCAAATAAAAACAAATCCTGATAGATAAGAAAAGACTGATTAGAAAGAAATACTATTACAATAGGGAGAAAGCCCCTATCTCAGAAATCTGCAAGCATCTCATAACCAAACAGAAAAAGGGCCTTTCTTTTATAGCCAGGGTAAGGAGAAGGCAAGCTGAGATAAGCAGAATCTGTGGAGAAGCTGCACAAGTGGTGGGGGTGGGGGGGGAAATGACCAGTAGGGTTTGAGTGGTCAGCTTTCTCAGGACAACCTGAGAAGGGGGCACTTTCCCCTTGTTTTGTGCTTGCTCAGGCTTGGGGACAAGCAGAGTTCAGGAGCCTTGTAGGAAAGAGAAAATCCTGACTGAAGTTTATCTAACAAGCATTTTGTTCCAATTAATCAGTGTTTATGAGACAAAGAATTAGAATTTGGAGGTTCTGTATCTGAACTTGTAGGTAAACGGAGAGGGGGGGCACATCTGTGAGTCCTATCTAAGTCATACATAGAAGTAAGGTTCTTTTCAACAAGCTATTTTCTGGAACACAAAAAAGTAATGGGGTTTCTTAACCTGCTCTGTTTACCACAGTCACGGGGCTCAGATAAAATTCATTATCAGCTGGGACCTTTTATGAAACACATTGTCCTGCATTCATTGAATTAAATAAATATCACTTCTGTAATATAAAGTCACACATGTTTAATTTCATCTGAACTCTATTGTGTCTCTGTAATTTGATTTCAAAGAATTTTTGTTTTTGCAAATTTATTTTTCTAGAAACTCTGAAATTTAAAATTATTTTATCACATTAAAAAATGAATGCTATTTCCCCTAACCCCCAATAAAACAAAAGTATTGAGATTTTGAATTGAATTGTATTATATTAACATAATAGTTTGGGGAGAGTTAATGCTTTTTATTATAATAAACCTTTGTAGCTAATAAGCCTGTGTCTCTATTTGATCATGTCTTATATTGTATACTGAAATGATATTTTATAATCTTCTTGTAAGTCCATTATATTTTTTAAATTTATTCTTAGATATTTATAATATGTTTGTTGTTATTGTTAAAACTTATATTTGCTAATCCTATCTGCTTACTGCTAGTACGGAAAGTACACATTTTTATAATTAAATCTTATATCCAGCTCCTTGTCAAAACTACCTACCAATTCTGGTAGCTTCTTAGTACAGTCTCTCAGGTTTTCTAATTGTACAATTGCATCAGATATAAATATCTTTTATTCAATATTTGATGTGATTATTTCTTCTTCTATTTTCACTGTATTAACTATCCTAGACAGTGGCCACTAAGCTTATGTGGCTATTTTTTTTTTATACTGTCTAAGTCTATATAATGGCTTGTCTGATAGAGGAGAGAACACCAGAATGGGTTAGACTTTGTTGCTATAGCAAGCTCAAGCTGTGTCAGACTGTTTTGATCATCTGCCACATAGTGTTCCTTGCAATTATGTGGCTATTTAAATGTAAATTTATTTAAACTAAAAAAATTTAAATTAATTTTCTTAGTCACCTAGCCACATTTCAAGTGCTCAATAGCCATGTATAGTTAGTGGTGTAACAGTGGGAAATTGTAACCCACCCCACCATTCTTTTGACATAGTTTCTGTAAATGCTGACTGACAAATGTGTAGCTTGTAGATAAGCAACATGTTTGTATAAGAGTCTTAGGAACTACAGAAGATGTAGAATCTGACCTCTAGTCATCCCAGTTCTGGGAGATTTGCTAACCTTCAACTGTAGAACCAGGATGACGTAGAACCAGGATGATAAAGACCAGGATGTCGCACACCAGACCATCACTTGACCAGTTTCCAGATCCTTATCAGAATGGACTGTGCTGGTCTGCACTTAAAGAACTTTTCAACCCCCTCTCCCTGATTTCTTTGTTCTGCTTTCCCTTTCCCTCCTTGTGAAAACCTCTGCCTGCACTGAGGTGGGGGAGATGGGCTTTGGACAAAAGCCCCCATCTTCTTGCCCAGCCAGTTTGGCTCAGCAGTTAGAGCATTGGCCCACAGACCAAAGGGTCGTGGGTTTGATTCCTGGTCAAGGGCCTGTACCTGGGTTTTCTGGCAATTTTTGGAAAATGGTTTTGTCAATTTAAATAATTTCTTTCCATTGCTATTTTGAGTTTTTAGTATTAATATAAATGGCAACTGAATTGTATCATATACTTTTTTATATTAATTAATAGTACTCTGTGGCTTTTCTAAAGTATTGGTATAATGAATTATGGTGATTGATTTATAAATGTTAATCCATATTAGCATTTCTGGAATCATCTCTTTTTTTTTTTCTTTATTGATTTTAGAGAGAGAAAAAGGGAGAAGGAGAGAGAGATGAAAACATCAATGGGAGAGAACACTGATTGGCCGCCTCCTGCATGCCTCCCACTGGGGATTTGGCCCACAACCTGGGTATGTGCCCTGAGTGAGAATCAAGCCAGTGACCTCTTGGTGCATGGGTTGATGCTCAACCACTGAGCTACACCAGCCAGGCTCCTGGAATCATCTTAATGGTTATGGTTTATTTTTGTCTTAAGACACAACTGAATTTGATGTACTGATATTTTATTTAAAAAATTTTACCCATATCCACAAAAAATTATCTCTAATTACCTTTTATTTTGAGCAATATACTTGTTTTGATATTAAGGTTATTCTCTTTATATAAAATAAATTGGGAAATTTCCATCTTTCTCTACGGACTGGTAAAGTTTATGCAACATAGACCCAGTTAGTCTTGATTTATTTAGGAAAGCATTTCTTAATTTCCAGCTGGTTAAGATATTTTAATAATATTTTACTTTATTTCTGTTTTTATTGGATCTTATCAGAGAATGTGTACCCTTCAAAGCACTACTTTTTCTTCTCTCTCGCTTGAAAATTTTATTGGTCCTGGGAAAAGGGAGGCAGGCAGTCCTGCCACCTGCTGAGGGTGTCACAAGCACTCACTGTTTCCCACTGCCATTGATGGGGAGGTTCACATGTTAGGGGGTGGGAGGAGAGGACAGAAAGACCTTGACCTTGGGCCAGAGGCGTGCCCTGCAGGCCCAGGCTGAGGACAGGGGGAAGGAATCCAGGTAACAGGGGTCTAGGACCTGGTGATTCAGCAACAAATCCAGCAGAGTGTAGTCTGCAAAGGAGATCTAGTTGCCTACCACAAGGTCCTGCCTCCACCCCCTGCTTCTGGGACACTAGGGTCTCTCAAAATGCTTCAGGTGCCCAGGCGTTTTCTTCACATAATCCTCTTTGCCCGCTTTGTAGTTGGTATAGATGAGGGTGATGTATTTGCAGTGGAGATCCTCCACGCCACCATTCACCACGTCCACCAGGGCCACCTTCTGCTAGTCCTTCCCATACAGCCCAAGGGAGTGACTCAGGTGTTGCAGGATGGCATTGGACTGGCCCAGATGAGGTATCTATCCTGGAACTTGGGGAGCCCATATAGACAAGAGGCCTTGAGTGAGTTCTGCAGGTCTCCTTGGTCACCACTTCCTCCTTCCAGCTCTGGACCGGCTCAGCCAGCAGCATGTGCATAGCCCACAGTGCCCTTGAACAGGGAAGTAGATGATGATATAGTGTGGCACCGTGGTGGTGTAGAGAAAGGCAGCAGCAGCATCAGAGCTCTTGTCAGAACCTTACTTATTTTTAAATCCTCACCTGAGACTGTTTTTTCATTTATCTTCAGATAGGGTGGGAGGGGGAGAAGGGGAGAGAGAGAAACATTGATGTGAGAGAGACACATCGACCGGTTGCCTCCTGCACGACCCTGACCAGGTCTAGGGACCGAACCGCAACTGAGGTACGTTCCCATGACTGGAATCCAACCTGCGACTCTTTGGTCCTCGGGCTGACGCTCTAACCGCTGAGCCATATTGGCCAGGGCCAAAACCTTACTTTTAAAAATGTATTAATTAATCATTTCTCTGATGCAAAGTTAGACAATTGAATGTTTTTTAATGTTGCAAGAATATAGGAGTAGAGAGTATTCTTGTAAGATACAAAGTTCTTTTTATGTCTATTAAATATAGCTTACTGATTATAATTTTCATATATTTTTTACCTTTAATTGTTTTTGTTAACTTGATCTGTTATATTCAGAAAGGTATAATCTCCCACTACAAATTATGATTTTAAGGTTTTGTTACATTTCCATTATCACATAATGTCTCTTATTTACCTGTTGAATACTTTTAGCCTTGGATTTCAACTTGATAATTGTATCATCACACCTGCTTTTGTTCTGCTTGCCTTTACCTGCTGTATTCTTTTTTTTTTTGCAATAGCAAACCATTTCATTAATTATGAGGACACCTAAAATCAAATGACTGTAGAAGGCAAGATGTTAGGCCAAGCAGTATTGGTTTAGAACATTTTTTTGCATGTGTGAAAATAAAGACTTCTACCATTGAAACGAACTACTACTGATTAAATGGGGATGATATATCCTTGTGTGGCAGGTCCAAGTTGGGGTATTTAATTTTCAGAGCCAATTAGGGTATAGTTACTAAAGATTACTATAATGGCTACTAAATGGTACCAAAGCAGTTGTCAGAATGTCTTGAAATTAAAAAATCAGTGGTCATGTGTAATTATTCATGATGTTTTCAAAATTGAAATGGATGGGCAGCCTACTAAAGTCTTAACTGAAAAGGCATAAATGAAATAGCTCTAGGTCTGGTGAACAGAACCCTGACTTGAATCACATTAGACAGTTGCAACCTCTCGACGCATTCTCAGACCTGAGCCTGTACACAAATTCAGCATACCTTGCACAAACAATAGATTGAATTCCTTGAGGAAGAAATTTTCTATGCATTGAAAAATGTATTACCTGCTGTATTCTTACATAAGGTTCAGTTTTGCCCTATTTTAAATGTGCTTTTAGTAAGCAATACATAGCTTTTGTTTTTAATCCAATTTCACAATCTGTATAGGAAAACTCAATCCATTTTGTTAACGATATGCTTGATTTTCTTTTTTAAATCTTTATTGTTGGATGTAAAATGTATTACAGATGTTCTACATTTTTCCCCCATTGACCCCCTCCTCCCCACTCCCGCCTCCCTCCCACCTTTTCCCACACTATTGTCTGTGTCCATTGGTTATGCATGTAAGTTCTTTGGTTTATTTCTTTCTCCCCCCCCCAACCCCTTTCTCTTTGAGGTTTGTCAGTCTAGCAATGAATTTGTACTTCTTAATCCCTTCACCTTTTTCACCCATTCCCCCAACCCCCCTCCCAACTGGCAACCAACAAAATGTTCTCTGTATCTATGAGAATGTTTCTGTTCTGCCTGTTCATTTTGTTTGTAGATTCCATTGTTGATAGATATGTATTCATTGCCATTTTGTTTGTTCATATATTTTATCTTTTTCTTCAAAAAGACCCTTCATCATTTCATATAATAACGGTTTGATTTTGTGGCTTCCATCAAGACTGTTTCCCCTTTTCTACTTTGTTGTTGTTTATACCTTTTCAATTTCCTTACATTTGCTGTCTCTCTCAAGTTTCTGTTCATTCTCCCTCTCCCTCTATTAGTAATTTGTCGGTTCAAATTACTGCTTATCAATCTTGCTGGTGATTATCCTTCCATTACTAATAAACATGATTCAAATAATCTCTTTTGGTATATTAAACACACACACACACACACACACACACATGCGTTATTTGCATTTACTCCTAATTTCTCAGGAGAATGAACCATTTAGAATGTTTTTACTTCTTCATTCTACCCTCACCCAAAATTTCAGTTCTTTTCTGGGCCAATTTTTAACAATTAGAAGGAATGCTGGGAACATTCCTTCTGGTAGCAGTGGAGCAATTTTGAAATCTCTTTTCATGCCAATATACAAACAGACAGCAATCAGATAGCAAAATCAAACCCATGTACAGCATTCATAATAAAATTAGAGGACATAGTATTACCAATATGGTAGATTTTCTGTAGATATGTCTGCAAACATTATTTTCATTGCTGTATGTGCTTGCTAGTCCTCCCATCCAGATAGGAAATATTTTTTTTCACTCTGTGTCTGGGCTGGTTTAAGTTATGTTTCGCCAATAAAATGTGGTAGAAATGGCATTCTGGGACTTCTGTGCCCAAACCTTAAGAGGCCTTGAACTTCTGGTTTATTGAGAGGGGAAACCTAGACACCCCATAATAAACTCCATGCTATCCTTCTGAAGAAAGAGGTCCTGGAGGATGAGACACCATTTTTTTAAAGGCCATGTGCATGAGAACTAAGGCCACAGCTGACAACTATCACTAAGGTCCCAATCTTGTGAAGAAATCATTTTGGATCCTTCAATCACATTCCAGCTGCCTCAGAAATTATATGGAGAAGAAATGAGCCATCCCCCTGCTTAAGTTCCTGACACATAGAATTATGAGACACAAAATAGTTATTATTTTAAGCCACTAAGTTTTGGTGTAGTTTA